TTGGACCATGAGTCTGGAAATAAAGTTGATTGATTGATTTATATGTAATGTAACAATAAATAAATCGCCGCCAATTTTCAAAGCCATACATTTAACATAGTTCAGATCTCTGTACAAGCACACTTTGTACTTTGTGTATTTTAAAATAAATACAAAAACATACCTTCAGCTATAAACTCACGTCAAAACGTTCCATATCTCCCCTTACATTATGGGTTTGATTCGACTTTTAAATCCCATTCATATTAATTAGACCCTAAACTCCTCTCCTTACTTATTCAAATTATGACCAGCCATTCAGTTTAGCATCAGCTTTTCAACACCCCACATTCTTCAGAAATTGCCTCCTCTAGTTACACCTGCACTTCTTTCTCTCAGCAGATCATGGCAGAAAAACACAACTAACCAATAACATTAATGATGGGTGTGTTCCATTTACCATGAGACCTATGAGCCAAAATACACCTTACCATTGTCTTTTAATAGTTACACCATTAATTACCAATAACTCCATTCATGTAAATTTAAAATTGTAAACACTTGACACAGGACGCGACACTTTACAAAAACATTATTTAATAAAACAGTGAAAAACATATCTGTTTCGTCTCCACATTGAATCAATTATTACAAAATAATACAGATACTGTCACTTCACTGCTATGTACAGTTATGCCTGTAGTTTATCAGTTTGTTATAATCTGTCTGATGTACAGTAACAACAAATCTTTCTCAAAATGTTGGTTAGGTTGAGTGTATGTGTCCAATATGCAGTTGTTTCAACAGCATAGATTAGATACTCAGTCTCAACTTTCACGTAACACTAAGTCTATAGATGATGAGCCTCCTCCTCTCCCGATCCATCAGTTTCCGACTGCCATTACATGTCCTCCACGCTCCATTTATAAGCTGCCTCCTGGACGGCTTTTTTATCTGCAATTCGCGTGTAGCGTTTCTGTTCAAAACCATTTGACCTGCAAAACACACACAAATAAAAAGTCCACTGTTAATTCTGTTCATTCACAACCTCAGCTCCATCTCTGGTTTGATGCACCAGGGCAAACCTTCGATGAAGCTCCCCATCAGGTTTAACTTCAGTGTAGGGGCCAAAACTGTGATCACGATTATAGTACACATACTTATACAAGTGTATAGGATGTAAGAGAACAGTATGAAATATGGACGCGCTGTATGTGTTACAAAGAAGGACACTTGTAACCACAACAATATTCCAAAAGTTAAGGAGTGATGTCGGCGCCAAATTTTCTGTTCCATTTCAGATAATCATTGTTATTCTATTTTAGAAAGAGTAGACACTTTTTCCATTTGCATACAACATTGTTGCAAATATTCCATTTGTTTTATGCAATATTAAATACTTTACTGCAGTTAATGGAAACATATATTATTCATAATTGCTCCCTGAGGTGAGCCCTGCATGTAACCGCTGCAGATCAACCCCAGCCACTCATGTCCACATGTTCTGGTCATGCAGCAAAATTCAAAGAATTGTGTTTTTCTGTCTCCATGCTCCCATTTTTGGTGTGTCATCTCCTAAACTGTCCCTCTTAAAAGCCGAGGCAGATTGCATTGCCACTTTTCTTGCCAGACGTCTGATCCTTGAAATGCTTCTTCACCCAGCTTTACACAATGGGTTCACAATTTACTGCTCTTCATTAAATTAGAGCGTTTGAGGGCTTCCAAGAATCATTTTCACAAATTATGGAACCCTTTTTTAATCCATCACCCGCTGTACCTGTCAACGCCATCCCAACGATAGCCTGGCAGAAGATTGAAGCGGTTTGGAGGAGGAGGTGGGCCTTTATATCGGGGTCTATCTGCAAAGCAAAACAAAAATAAGATGGTTTACAATTAATTCTATAAATGATAAACACATTTTTTTTAGCATCAGTCAACAAAGTACACATATGTAACCCTTAAAACCTTGTGTTTTTGGATTGCGGTCCTTTTTCCGTCTGAGCATCGCGGCCATCGGATCTCCCTCCCTTTCCTGCTCTCTCAACATGCGATCGAGATCCTCGTCATCGCGCTGACGTGCCAGCGGCTTGTGGGCCTCACGCACTGCATCCTCAAGTTTCTGCTGTTGCATTTGGCTCTGGGCCAACCTATAAACACAAGCTGACTTTAATCATGGAAACAAGTCGGCATGTAACACATTACAAGTCTTTATGTGGTCACAATCACACTCTGCAGCTTTAAATGTGTGAAAACTTTACGCAGACTTACCCTCTCCCCCACTGAGCGTATTTCTCATCCTTTTCTGCTTTTTCTCCAGCTTTCCTTTTCTGTTCCTCTCTCTCCGTATCCAAATCCCTTCTTTTACCGCTCTTGTCTCGGAACACCGTCTGGGCATTGCGGGATGCGTCTACACATAGCAGGAAAAAATATATAAAATGTCATCTGAAAGAGGACTGCATCATTTGAGTTTCACAACTACTACCGAAGATATCACTGTAAGCATGGTTCATGTAGAGGATATGAGAAGGAAAAGTATCTTAAAAAGAGTGAAGCTGAGCCAACCTTCTAGCGGCTGGTTGTTTCTTTCCCTGCGTCGGTTCTCCTCCTGCTCTTTCCTTAAGATATCGACAGAAACCAGGCCTGCCGTCCCACCAGAAAGCATCCTTGGAGGCTGAAAAGAAAACAGTAAAAACTGCATGGGTCTGGTCGATTGGACATTGAATACATGCATCCAATTTCAGCTAAATCTGATTTTAAATTACAAAATGAACACAATTTTCTCACCTGTGATTGGCCATGCCGACGAGGTGGTGACAGGTCTTCATCTGAGCCCTTTCCACTACGCGGCCGCCTCCTCGGTGGGGACTGGTCGGAATCAGAGCCTCGTCTTGTTTTTGAGTGCTTCCGTGGAGGAGATTGGTCCGAGTCTGAAGCTCCTCCCTTCTGCGGCTTTTTTCGTGGAGGTGACCGGTCGGAGTCTGAATCGTGCCTGTTCTGAGCCCGATGAGGATCAGGCGAACGTTTTTTACCTGAGGGTACTGAGCTGGGCTTTCTTCTGGCAGGGGACGAGTCTGGCAAAGAAATAATGAATTCTATAGTGAAGTGTTTGTATAATTAAACACCAAAAATACTTTTCTCTCATGTGCAAGAAGTCGTTATCCCAGCTGGACTACGACTGTCAAAAAAACAAAGGCTGGTCAGTATCACATTTCACTGTAAAATGATTGGATTTTTGGTTCCATGAATCGTGATACACAACCTTATTATCCAAATTAAGAGTCTTCCCAACATGACTAAAGGAGAGTTCCAGCTAAATGAAGTTTTAAAATAATTACTTTTGACCTTCCTTCATCAAGCAATAAAATGTGATGGACATGATCTAAACAACTAAACAGGTATTTCTAAAATACATGTCCATAAGCAAATGTTGCGATATACTGTATACGGATGTTGGAAGGTCTTCTGGTTGTTATTTTAATGTTTTTGTTGTTTTATTAATATCATCAGGTTCAAAGCCTCAAACATGACTTCTCCTCACTCACCTTTACTTTGTGCCTTCCCTGATTTCCCTGAGTGTTGCCTTGGAGGTGACAGGTCTGGAGAGTCATGGCGACCTCTTCTTGGGGGGGATATGTCTGGAGAGTCATGGCGGGTCTTTCTCTCCTGAGAATCATGTCTGCTACCCTCCAATGACAACTCTGGTGAATCGTGCCCTCCTCCTTCCGCCTCTTCCGCGTCTTCATTTTCGTCAGCTATGGGCAGAGGATAAACAAAGTAAATAAACTTTTACACAGCACGAGGATCCTCTTCACTTGGTTCACAAATACCAATTACCTCCAATCACTTTCCATCTATTGCTGGTTCTGAAGGCTTCCAGCTGTTTCACTTCGTCCGGTCTCTCGTCAATCACCTCAGCGATCTTAGCAGACAAACACGACACATGACGTTTCAGGAGAGGGTAATATGAAAATACATTTGATAACCACCATAGATTTTGCCATGCCATCTAACTTACACCATAGTAGCTACATCTTTAATAACTCTGCTTGTATCTGCTTATACTGCAATATTTTTATGGTTTTTTGCGTCAAATCAACACAATTACAGCTTAAAAAAAGGCCAAACAGATCAACAAAACACTTTTTGGTTGGATTTATATTACAAACAATACAATAACCCCACAAATCACTTAAAGAAACTGCGGAAATACTTTTTTTTTTCTCACATTTTTGTTACAAATTTAAAAGCACGGCATGTTTCTGAGGTGTTCTGCGAGTGAATAAGTGTGCTGGCTGATCACTTCAAGTAATGGATAATAATAATCGATGAATGGACTCAGGTTAGCCAGCTGGGACACGTTAGCGAGCCAGCTAGCATCAGTCCTTACCACTGGAGCTTCCTCTTCGTCCTCTTCGATCTCCTCCTCCTCGTTCACCGTCTGTTTCCAGTCTATGTCATCGTCTACTATTTTGAGTCTTGGACAGGAGAAGTAAACGTGAGCCAAGCACCGCCACACAAACTTTTCATTCAAAAACGAGGGAGTTTGCAGCAGCTATATCAACAGCGAGCTGCGTTAGCTGAGCGGCTAACGCAGCTCGGTTGAAACCTCACTCACCCTCTCTCCGGAACCTTGCGCCGTTTCTTCTTTACCTTCCCCTTTGACTTCTTGCCGTCTCCATCAGCGGACAGATATCGTTTCAGGTACTCGGCTTTAGATAGTTCTGGCCCTTTAGTGCTGCCAGTCGAAGCGGCCATCGTACTGTTGTCGGAAACTACGGATAGTACCGAGGGTCAAAGACGCACATTTCACTTAACCAAATACCACGAGACGCTACAGACTGATAATCTCACTTGTTCAAGTTTGACTGTGAAAAGTGAGATTATGAAATAAAAGACAGATAAAATACTACTAAATTAAATATTAAAAATAATAATGTATAATGAAATCCAATGAAACACCTATAAAATACTGTTGTAGACTAATTAAAATAAGAATGATAAAATAACATGTCATATACATAATAATGAGTTTGAGTGAGTGATAAAATAATTTCATAATTTACTGGTTCATTTCTATATTTTATTCTCTTTCTTCATAGGATTATTTATTCCATAATGTGTTATTTATATTGAATGTTGAACACTTAGATTACGGGTTGAAATATTCCTAGGACAGAGAGAATTATGATTGTGGGTGCCTGGACTGGTCAAATTAAAAGCAGTGCCTATAAAAAAGCATTAACTCCTTTGGAAGTGTTCGTGTTTTATTGTTCTTTTATTGTTTGAACCTCACATTAGAAACATAACTAAGAATGCATTTTTCCATCTTAAAAACACTTCCAGAGTGCAACCGTTTCTCTGTTGTATTACCTGCAGATTTGACTACTGTAATACTCGACTTTCTGGTTTCCCAAGAAGAATATAGCTCAGTTACAATAACTTCAAAAGTCAGCTGCATGTGTGTTGACAAGGACCAGGAAGAGAGCAGACATTACCCCAATTTTAATGTCTCTGCATTGGCTACCTGTTTGCTTCAGAATCAATTTTAAGATCCCTTTATTGTTTTATAAAGCTCTTTATGGTCTCAGAGTTCAGTGAGTATTTGTGTAATAACAGTCTTACTGTCAATAATACTCTGATATATAATCATAGCGGTTCTTGTGTTCCACAGTTTAAAACAAACAATTCTTATTATGAGTTGTAACAGTTCAATGTGGTCAGATGGTTTATTGTTTCTTTCAATAATTCCAAACATCACAGACTTCCAACATCAATCTGTCCCAGGCTTCCCGAGCTCTGTAACAATCCATGAAAAGATGCTGCTGTGTCTCATCATCGTTGCAGTTAATCATTGGACAAATTTTGTTGTTGTTATAACAACAACAGCTCCAACAGGAAGTCTTCCCACAGACATCAGCCACAGAACATCCCGAATGCTCTATAACAGGATCTTACTTTTTAGATCATTTATCACCTCAGTGCTTTCATTAAGAGTTACGTTCTTATATAGAATGAATCCTCCATTTAAAATCATTCATTGTTTTCTAAATCATTTGGTTGTTTAGACCTCCCCAGTCTATGTGTAAATGTTGTTTTTCCCTCTTATTTTCCTCCACATTAAAAGGTCTCCTATCCAGAGAGCATTCCTGTTGATGGCTGCAGATATGTTTTTAACAAAAGCAATTTTTAACTCTTCACCAAGCTCTGCAGAACCTAAACCTCCAGTTCTCTGTTAGTGACCTCTCGGGTTGTTCCCCAGATTAAATTCACACACAAGATGCTTTCTAGAAAAAGGAGTTTGGATAGGATGAAGGTTTATATTTTAAACTCGATTGATTTATAATTGGTATTTTTATTTTCCCATTTCTTTACCTCTTCTTTAATTTCACATAGTTTCTTATCCCAGTTTCTGTCACTACATTTACTGTTACAGATGTTCAGACCGAGTATTTGAATTTCCTGTTTAACTTTATAATATTAATGTTTTGTCTCTCTCTCTCTGCTCCAATCCAAACTTCTTCACTTTTGTTGTGTTGTAATTTAGCTCCAGATGCATTTTCATATGAAATTAAATGATTAGTTAAGACATCTATCTCTGATTCTTTATAAAAACAGTAATGTTATCAGCGCAAGCCACAGCAGTGACTTTATGTGCCTGGCCTACACAGGTTCCAGATCATAGACATAGTCATTATTGATGTGTTTAATTAAAGGGCTGATTGCTAAAATATAAAGAGCTGCACTCAGAGGACAGCCCTGTTTCACACCTCTCTCAACTTCAAAGAGACTCCAAAAACCATTAACATTAACACACACATTGGACTTTAAATACATACATCTTACCATGTGAATAAAAACTGCAGGAAAGCTGTCACTGCCCAGAGGTAATCTCTGGAGATGTAGTCAAAAGCTCCAGACCGATAATATAAATACCTTTTGTTTCTTCAGGTTTGTGTAGGATTTCTCTAAAATACCAATCTAATCTCTTCCACTCTGCATCTGCCAGAGGATATAGCAGGTTTTAAAGCTAGAATGAAGATACAGGAATCATATGAAACGAGATGACTTAATTCGTCCATTTGTACCAGCCATGTCATGCTAGCTTGTCAGGGGAAGGGGGCTAAAAATGTAGGCCAAATGACGCTTCCTGGGAACCATCATCATCCAGGACCTCAAGTGGGAACTGAACATCAGCTCCAAGTACTTCCTGCGGCAAATTAATAAGTTGAACGTGCCAAAGGCAGTGACGGTGCCCTTCTATACTGCCAGTCCATCCCCACTTCCTCCATCACCATCTGGAAACGCTACTGCTATTGCAGGACGCCTCCAGGACCTTGAGGCGTTCAGGTAAAAGTGTGGCCCTCCCACCCCAGACACAAACTTTTTGAGGAACCTCACTCTGGCAGGAGGCTGCGGTCCATCGGGACCAAAACCTTACGCCACAAGAACAGTTTTTTCCTCATCAACAAGGCCCAAGACCCCCACCGACTCTTACCCCCACCCCCGTCCTTTGCACGTTACATTAATGTTACATAGCACACATGAAGTTATCTTGCACATTGCAAATATTCTTTATACTTACTAAACTGTACAGCTTCCATTTAAAATAAGTCATATTGTATATTCTTATCTTCATAATGTTTTATCATACAATATTGTCCGTTTTGTTTTTCTATTTATTTGACTTTCAGTACATTTTCATCTTTATTTATATTTTCTTCTAAAAAGACCTTTTTGTTTCCATCTTTATCTCACTTCTGTCCCACTATTGTGAACATTGAATTCACACACAAGTCAGTGTCTAGCTTTAAATAGCATCTCTTTATTGAAAACAAATGCTGCAGCTTCCAGAGTAATATTTACATGACAAGTTGCTCAGCGTTATTTCATACACATATATCTGCGTGGGCCTCTGCAGCGAACAGAACATCTATAATCAGTTCTGTTGAGTCATCTTCATTCTTTATTGTCAAAGTTATGAAAACATTTCAGTGCACTTGGGAGGAAAACCAGAGAAGGAGAGACAGTTTCAGGCTATTGATAACATACGAACATGTGGGTGTTATATTGTGGGGATGTACATATGGGGACAGATGCAAAGGCGTGGTTAGATGTGTGTGTGTGTGTGTGTGCCAGCACAAGCATGCACGTTTTGTTTAGCTGTGTGTTTGATAGAAGAAGAGCAGCAGACAAGCGATCAAGGAGCAGGAGCTCTTCAGAAACACGCTCACAGCTGAACACTCGAGAAGTTGATCTGCAGAGGAAGAAAAGTGGGATTTAAACAGTGGACAAAAGCCTCTTGAATTTGTCTCCCACTCACTTATTCTCATGCTGAGTCCCTCAAATCCACCTACCTTTCTCCACAGTAATCCTGGCTCCCTCCCCAGATATTTTGCACATGTAGGTGGTGTTGTGTGGGAGTTTGTCTCTGAAGCCACCCATGGTCATCCTGTAACCGTAAGGTGCCACCTCCTCCACGTAGCTTTTATCTTTGAACTGAGCCTCTGCTGATGAACCGGACACATTGGTGTTAATGATGGACTCTTTGGTTCCAAAGGACCAAGAGAACTCGTAGCTGTTGATCATGTTAGGCTTGGGCTCCATCTGACAGTCCACTCTCAGGTCGTTGTCATCTTCAACACACACTGAGATCAGCTCGCACTTTGCTGGGATCAGCAGCACTGGGGGGAAAAAACAGAACACATATATTTATTTACAGAAGTCTCCAGTTACCAGACTAGAAATATATATTGTTTTTACAGATCTCACCTCCCAGCACTCCATACACAAACAGAGACTTGAGCATGATGGAATAGCACCCATCCAACTTTGAAAAAAAAACAGAGAGGAAATGTGAGAAAGAAAGCAGTTTACAGCAGTAAAATGTAAACACTGCAGCTTTGCAGTGACAAGCAAAATTGAATTGAATTGAATTGAATTAAATTAAATTAAATTAAATTAAATTAAATTAAATTAAATTAAATTAATTATTTATTTCAATCAGTGCTTCTCCACCATTGGTTGTTCAGGCGGTTGTGAGGTCATTTTGGGTGAGGTCGTGGCGTTGTTTATAGTAATGTCATTTACGGAGACAAAGAAAAAGAACAAAAACATACTAAATAAAATAAGTAAAAAGACAAAACCATTCTTTTGGTTGAGCAAACATGACTTTGTTGTTTGGATCACAAGCAAGGTTGAAAAGCTCTGATCTAAATGAATGTATATGTCCTCTAGTTTCCTCCCGAACTTGGAGTCAACCTGTGGCAAAATCTAATGACTAGACATATTTCAGAGTGAAAGATGACACAGATGTTTTTCTCTTTCCTGTTTGTTATACTATTTCTCACATTTTTCCAATGCCCTTGACACAGTTTTGTAGTTATCAGTATCCCAAGCCAAACATTACCTAATGACTTTTTAATTAGACTGTTTACATATCTCTGCATGCAGGAAGGTCATAATTCCCTACATACCTACATGTTCTAGCATATTCCATGTCTCCCTGATGTGACCCTAGTCCTCATAAAATGCCCCCCCCCCTTTTCCCCAAGCTGCATCTGAACATCTTTGAGAAATCTTACCTCCTGTCAGGTATGGATGATGTAGCAGCTCCTGTCTGCGTGCTCTTGTCCGGCTGGGGAATAAACCGCTGGTCGTAGTTGCTTCAGTGTGCAGCACTGCAGAGTATCACACTTATGAGACGAGGTGGGAGCGATACAGAGAGGTGGAGAGAGAGTGGGAGGGATAAGGGTGGACCAGAGTGTGCTGATTCGTCTGTCTCCT